AGCTTGTTTTAGGTGGTCATGGCAGAGGAAAAGATATTACAATATGATCATAATATTTATTGACAAAATTACGTCAGTTCGACACAAAGCCAGGAAAAAAATGGAGGGGAGAAAGGCTTGTCATGCAAAGTCTATTACTAAAAAATGAAACTACTCTAACATTCAACTTATCCACACGAACAATTTCATCCGTCTCCTACCACCTTATACTACCTGTAGATCATCATTTAATACTATCATGCAAGGGGTTGGGGAGGATCTGAATAATGTGGGGTGGGGCAAATCACATGACAGGTTTCATTTTACCAGACTCTTCAAATACTGATGGAGTGTATCATTGTGGCACAAAAAAATCTAAGAAAGCATCTCTAGTTTGGCACCCTTCACACATACAAAACAGAAATCCTCCTTGGAGGGGGCCACATTATCACATACATGGGAAATGTTGAGGGTATGGTGCATTTTCAGGCTCTATGGCGAATGACCAGATCCCCTATATATTCACATAGTGGATGGACTTGTGGGCAGTGATAGAAGGCATGTTCAGCCCTCTCTTCTTGATTATTGCATCTCCCACACCTGGATGCTACCCCCAATCTGAACCTGATATCATTGACTGGCAAAGCATTTTATGCCAGGCACCAAGTCAGGGTGAACTCAGAGTTAGTGAGGAAATCAGTACCTGGGGTTCAGTGTCAGTGGGACCAGAGATCATTCTCTGTCAGGCCAAGAAATAAAGTCCTTTAATTCCTTAATAAGGAATAAAGTTCTTTAATTCCTTATAATACAATATTACAGCAGCTATTACAATATCATAACAGGACAAAGTGTGACGATTTTTAAGGTGAACCAGTAATACAAATCTAATAGAGTTTCAAGGAGGTTTGATAGTGGTCAAGAAATGGTGTTAAGTGTAGAAAACTTCTTATTTTTGTATTTACCTGGAGAAGAATGTCAAAGAAAGCTTAATTGCATTTATTAACTACTAGCTTACTTAAGCTAACTCTTGTGGAGAGCTTTTGATTGCACCTTCATCATAAAAGGTAAGAGGAGTAGACGTAATAGGCAACAATAAACTACAGAAGAACTCAAAATTGATTGCTGCATTTAACTATTGCATTGATATTTAAGCTTATCTTTTAAAAGTTCAACAATGATTCTTCTGCCACCACTTAAAGAAAATTTGATGTAGGTCTTTGCTTTCCGTACAATTATTTTTATTTTGTGGGTGATTTCTGCTAGATTTTGCAATTAAATTTGATCATTTCCAAATTTATTTCCAAGTTATAAAAATTGTTATTGTACAAAAAAATTTCTTGCAAAAATCCCCCAAAACAATCACAGTAATGAAAACTTAGGAATCCAAAATTTCAGGATCTGGCTCAATATTTTTAAATTGCTCATGGAGTCAGCCTGATTCCAAAATGGTATGATATGTTGGACTATTTATCACCCTCTACCTGAGCTTGCCTAATTTGCACTAACTTTATTTTTCTTTACATATTTTTCTTTAACAAAAATAAACTTGGCAATATTAATTTTTACTCAAGTCTTCATTTTGTTTATTATCTTCCGTTATTCAATATCTGTTTGTGGGACTCTAGGGATAAAGTTGAAAAAGTGTGACACACTGACATTTGCATTTATTATATCGATTAGAATTACATATTGAGAAAGAATAACTAAAATTAAGTGGTTCTTGAAACATTTAACCTAAATATTAACTTAGTAACTTCATCAAACTAAGTAATAATCTATGTCCATTGACTCCACTCATTAAGAGAGGTAAACATCATGACAAGTAATAAATTATTTCCTTACTCAAAATCAAAAACTAATTTAAAAAACATCGAGATTAAGTTGTTTACATTAAGACCTATTCATCGGATTGGTGTGGTTTCTTTGGCAGAATAATTTCAGAGAAATGGCTTTCTAAATTTAGCCAAAACCAATGGACTGTGTAATTTGTTTACCAAAGACATCTTCACCTATGGTGTGATTGGAAGAACAGTTTTTGGGAAGTCGGTAATAAGAATTCCAATAAATGGCTAACTGAACATGTGCCTTCCAGGACAAAGGAGACTGTTAGCATTATAAATTAATAGTCAAATCATACCAATACATCATTGGTGACAAGTTGGCAGGTTGGGTTAGGGATTAAGGAAGGCCAGAGAGAAGCAGTTTGCTAAAATTGTCAGAGAGAAGAGACACACACAAGATGTGAGAAAGACATAGGAAGGGCAAAACATTGCAGCAGCTGTAAGAACAGGTCATCAGATTACTACCCCAACCTTTGAAAAGTAAATAAATGAACAAACAGACAACAGAAGATGTGAAACATGAAAGAATAGACCGATCCTGATCGTTATGGTAAACTGCAGTTTCTCTTATGTAAAGACAAATTGGCTGATACTGATTACTATCGTTCTGTCACCATTATAATTGCAAAGTAGCAATTTAAAGTTCAGAGTTATCCCTGCCATTGCTGATGCAATGTGTCTTAACTTCTTTTGCTACAAATTGGTGACCAACAGTAAACTCATCTATTATAATCCTATATCACCTCTTCACTAGAGATTAATGGAAAAAGTAATGATTGGGTTAAATATCAGTCATTTATATGCCATGCATGATACATGCTTAGACAATCATGTATCTTTTGATACATGACTGATGAGGCAGATTTTTTTCCCGCAGTAGGTTGCCATTTCTTTCTGCAGTAGTCCAGTTGCCATCCATGGCTATAGAACCTGGTCTGTCCTACTATTTAACCATAGCTGGTGGGAGAAGAAGAGAATTCATACCTTTCCCAAGGGTATTAGCATGTAAGTGAATGTAATGGATTGACTGGAATTCAAACTTGCCTCTCCGATTCCTCACTGCATTACTTCCATTACTCCACCATAAAAAAGTATTGATCAGGGAACGAACAAAGCAAAGAAATATTCCTAGAAATTATTAAATAATACAAATGGAGGTGAGGAGGGATAGCAAAAAGGTAACAAACCAATCAGTTTTTTGGTTAAGCTGAGAACTTTTTAGCACACCTTTGTGTGTGTGTGTGTGTGTGTGTGTGTGTGTGTGTGTATATATATATATATTGGGCATCTTGAGGTGGTGTAATTGTTAGCAAGCTTGTCTTACTAGAACAATTACGACTGAGTAGTGAGTTCAAGCCTTACTGGGTGCCCCATACTTTAGGCCTTGTGCCACATCTAAGCTATGCTTAGAAAATCATATATATATATATATTTAAATTTATTTGTTTAAATATTATTTTAAAAGCATATTCATATTTAAGCAGATGGTCTGTTTTTTATTTATTAAACAGTATATTTATTTATTTACATCTATGGGAGTGAATATTCGAGAAATCTTGTTAGAAAAATATGCATCCTCTGGCAGTATTTGAACCTGCATCCCCTAGGGGAAGCCGTCATCAGATCTGATATGCCTTAGACCAACTCAGTAGGACCTCCTGATCAAGCAAAGCCTGAATACCTGCCCATCCTGGATATGACAGTGAACTATATCCGCATCCTGGGTAAGACGATAAAATATGTCCAATAGCAAGGCCTCTGATCAGGAGGTTTTGAGGAGCATAGAACCACCTCTTAATCACTGGTGTTCTCAAGTCTACCGTGACTGGGGTGGTAGCACCTGTTAGGGTCCCAACTATTGGCAAATAGTTACCCCCCCCCAAAAAAAAAAACTGAGGTCAAAACATTATGAAAGTGTGAAAATAGGATTTAATACCAGAAATACATCGTAAAAAATTATTATCAGAAATACATTTTTGAAAAAAAAAATTACCAGCTATACATTTTTTGGAAAAAAAAAATATTATCAGCAATACATTTTTGAAGGAAAAAAAATGTTACCAGCAATATATTTTTGAAGGATTACAAATTGTCGGCATTAAATAACCCATTGTGGTGGATATGCCATAAAACAAAATAAACCAAACCAAACCAAACCAAATACTGCTTTTGAACACACATTTTCCTGATTCTCGAAATATACATATCTGCTCTATTTTGTATCCTAACATAAGAAAAGACAATTTTTTAGGAAATGGATTTTTAAATCCAACAGATTTTTAATTTGTTTAAACATTCTTTTTAATGGATACTCATATTTGAGTAGACGGTTTCCCCTAAAGCATGTAGACTCAAATCCTGCTTCATTTAAAATATCCATTTCCTAAAAATTATATATATATATATGTATATATCACTATAAAACATTTTTAGTGGATACCCATATTTGAGTAGATACTGTTTATTTTAAACGATATTTTATTTATTTTCATCTACCAGCCGAATATTTGATAAAGATTATTAGAGAAAAATATGTGCTCTCCAGCAGGATATATATATCAATGTAAACAAATTTAGTCTGATGAAGTCCTAAGGAACAAAACATGTCATACAAAACTTTTTCCCACTTTCCCATACATTTTACTTCCAAAACTGTTTTTGATATATAAAAATGTATATACCGTTATCCCATATATGACCTAGAATTTTCAACTGTCTCTTTCTGATGTTAAGTATAAGCTTTCTTTTCATTTCTATTTTCTGTAAAACTATGTCGTCACTCACATGTTCCATTCATGGTATCCTCAGCAAAGGGTGCAAAAAGTAAAAGGAAAAAAATTGGAAAAATACCAGGAACTTGACCTGTCATGACAAAAACTAGAATGTGAAAGTTAAGGTTGTGCTTAAAGGATGTTAGTGCACTTGGAACTGTGTCAAAAACAGTAGAGGTGAGATGAATTAAGAATTTGTGGAAGAATTGAGACTGTCTGGACAATGGTGTTGACGTGGAATGTGGAGGTCTGTGAACAAACTGAGAAAGTTGCTGGAGATGTAAGGAAACTTGTTGTCACTTAGTCTCCAATAATAATCATCAGATACCTATTAGGAATATGCAAATGCAGGAAAATATCTTATAATTCTGCTTGTCTCTCTCTGAGTTAGACCTATAGATATATCATGTTGAAACACCAGTTCCCGCAGATCCTTGAAGTTAAGCAACGTCAAACTTGGTCAGTACCTGGATGGGTGGCCACTTGGGAATATCAGGTGCTGTAAGCTTGGATGTTTGGGTAGTGTAATGGATAATGGCTCAGAATTGTTAATTGGAGAGCTGAGTTCCAATTCCCATTGGGAATATTATATTCATTTATGTGCAAATACCCTTGGGAAAGGTATGAATCCACCTATTCTCTCTCCCCTATATGTGGGTTAATTAGTATCACTAAATCATAATTATCTCCCAAAAATATCTTACGGCTTTAAATAACTTGAAAAGAGTTCATATACCATAGAAAATGAACAAATCAATCAACTGTCTTTGTTCTTTAGCATGCATGTTATGTTACAACCTGCCAATATCTCATAAATAATAGGCTGTTCTGTTTTGATTGAGAGGAAAGAGAGAAAAGATATATCAGAGATGTGGTTTGATTTTGGTGAGAAAAAAAAAAGAAAATTCAAACAGGGAAGCCATTAAATTTTCCTTGTTACTACTAGTAAATATTAAGGAAAGAAAAATACTGAAAATATATTGAGGTATGGACAATTTCTGTCATTTTATTTCCAACAAGAGCCACCAGATAGTAGTGGTATTAAATTAAACAACTAGTTACAGTCTTTAGAGTAATACTTAAGTGTCTTCATCCTTTCCTATGTAAGACGTGCAGCACATTTAAACAAAAAAATTAAATAAACTTCATCCAATTTAAAACATCACAGGAGTAGAGTATTAAAACTTAAGACAGCAAGTCTCTCTGTATTTTTCTTTTCTCTTCAGGCTTTCTCTGATTTTCTTTTCGTTTTTTTCTCTAGATTTCTTACTTACCCTCTACCTTTCCTTCTTCATACCTTCTTTTCCTCTTCCTCCACTCTGAAGCTTCTCTCAATTCTACTGTTGTGTGGAAATAAACAGACAGTTGATGATTATGTATATTAGGTTGGCCAGAAAGTCCTGACTCAGGATGTGGAAAGAAAATGACAAAATTTTATGGAGCAACACCAACATTTATTCTTCAAAATAAAGTCCTTCTACCAGCAATCAGCCAACATCTGAATCTGTCCCAGATACCTGTCTACTGGCTTTGAAGCAAAAAACTGTAAACAAACTACCTTCACTTCATCAAAAGTATTGAATCACTGATTGCAGAGACATTGGGCGGAATAGGCCATATTCACTCAAAGCAGCATCGGGACTGAATGGTGGACATGAAAGGATCTCAACACTGTTTATCTGTTTGAACTTCTCTTTAGTCAACCTGGCAGTGTGTCGCCTCATTTTGTTTGTTGAAACAAAGCTCGACCTCGAGTGACCAAAGCAGGATACTCCTTTAGTTTGTCACACATGTGGTCTAGCTGCTGGCTATACAGTTTGGCATTGATGGTGTGACCATGTGGAACAAGCCCGAAATGCTGTACTCCTTGGAAATTCCACTAGGCAGAAATCAAGATTTGTTGTTTTCTGGCCAACCTAGTATATACATAGTATGTGATATTGTTAACCAAGAACACAGATACTGGACTGATTCTCAGCAAGACTGCACAGGTACTTTAATCAGTCAGAAGCATCAATCTATATATAAATAATCCAATAACTTTTTGCTCTTATTATTGTTATTATTATTATCCTCCTCCTCCTCCTCCTCTCCCTCTTTCAAAAAACACCACCACCACTTTTATTATTTCTTCTTTTTTAAATTCCAGACCACTTCAGGCAATCAAGAGTCTCGACAGATTGCTTTTCCTTTAATATCAGCATTCTTGGGAAATATAGTGGAGTAGTTTCCTGTTGTTTTCTCCATCATTTGGAATTAATAGTTCTCTTTCTCTTAGACTGGCTGCCATCCAAGGCTAGAGAGCTCAGTTTATCATGCTATTTACCCCATAGCTGAAGAGGAGAAGAGATGTATTGATGCCTTTCCCAAGGTCATTTGTGCAGAAGTGAATGCAACTGACTAATCTTAACTTGAACCTGCCTTCCTGATTGTACTTTCTGTGACAATATCCCTTATGCTACCTATACATTCACCATTGATATTCTTCTTCTTCAATGTGTTGCATCCCTTTAGGATGTGGGTAAACATGGTTCTCCATAACCTCCTTTCCATTTGTCTTCAATCCTACCCATCCTTCTGCCATCCATTCAAATAAGTTCATCACTTAGGTGACCCAATGCCTTTTTCCTTTCCCTTTTGCCTTTGATATGTCCTGTGAGTGTCAAATTCTTCAAGCCCTCCATCTTCATTATATGTCCAAGAATGGTGGGAAAATGTAGAATCTTACAAGTAAAGTTTTAGTATAAAATCTAATAAGCATGATTTCAAAAATGTTATTTTTTGTTGAAATTATTTTTCTGTCTAAAAATATTCAAAACTATTTTATATATTGTATTTCAGTCACACAGCTTGATTTCCCTTCCTTACTAATGAGATATTCCATTGCTAGGGTAACAGAAAACATTATTCAAGGCCTATAAGGGAACATGCTTTGTGACTTTTTCTTTTTTTTTTCTTTTGTGAAAATAATAATTTCTGTTTGTGTAATAATTTATTTTACATTTAAAAATTCTGTTAAAGGCAGTCAAAAATTTAATTTCTTTAAATAAACAAAATCAAAAATGAACTTCTGAAGAGGCCAAAATATTGTAGGAATTTTTTTAACCAAAATTGACAAGAATCCCAAAATGACTTTGGTTATAATTGTTGTTACATAGACATTCTTTTAAATGTCTGTTTTTTTGGGGGGCTTTTTTTTTTTGTTGTTGTTGTTGTTGTTGTTATTATTATTATTATTATTATTATTATTATTATTATTATTACTACTACTACTACTACTACTACTACTACTACAACAACAATAACAATAATAACAATAACAATAATAATAATAAAAAAGTCAACCAGCCAATAAATAAATTATTGATCTTTAATTTACTTTTTTGTATTTGTTGCCATAATTACAAGTTTATTCACCTAATTTACTGGAGGTTTACCATCTAAATTCCTGGATTCAAACCTAGAAAGAAACTATTTCAATATTCCTCCATCAATGTATGTTCTATTTTTCTTTTTTAAAGCGACTGTCTTGCGCATATCTTGACATGCAAATTTGGTAGAAACTGTGATAATAGCCTTCAAAAATAAGCTTTTTATGGTTTTTCTTAATTTTTAAATATTTTGGCAAAAAATTGAATTTTTTTTCCTCAGAAAATTTGAAAAATTTGATTCTGTTCATTTTGAAAACCTGACTGTCCCTTTGAGTATCCAAATTTAGAAACAGCAAGATGAAGAAACTTCATTTTTACAGTTTTCATTAATTTCAAATTATTTTAGTGAAAATTTGATGTGTTTTTTTTAACTTCACACAAAAATGTTAAATTTGACAATTTTTTATTCTACAAATATTACCTATCCCTTAGTATTTACTATTTTTCTTTTTCCATTGTTTGTCAATTCAAATTTAATTTCTCCATAAAAATATTTCTGCAAACATACAAAATTTAAAATCCAGCAAACATTAACAGTTTCAATATGGAGGTGGGGAAACACTTTCTGGCCATAGTATCAGATAAGTTTATTTATTACCCTTTCCTCAAAAATTTCAGTGGACTTTCCTAATACACAGTGTTTATCACTCATTCCAACCTGGAGATGCCTGCCATGAAAAGGTGAAACATATTGTCTGAACAAGTAGTACAACACCCATTATGATTAACTGTCTTAATAATTGTCATGGATTAGTTGAAAGCTTTAACCAATGAAATTGCAGAGTTGGAGTCTCAATATTGACACACTTTTTAAAAAATGGTATTTGATTGGTTGACTCTAAACACAAAGATTGAAGAATGACCTCAGAACTTCTATGTCATCATTGATTTTAGGTTGAAGAAATTTTCCACTTTAAAACCTGGAGAGGTTGAACAAATTAATTCTAACTTTGTTCCCTTGCAATAACATCTTGAAACTGAGTTTAATTGTCTTTGTATTCTACATGCAAAAGTTATTTTTGGTCTTTGACTACTTCTCCTTCTTTGTTGTGCTGTGTCCTTTCAGGATGTGGATGATCGTGGCTCTTCATAACTTCTTATTCTTTGTTGTTCTTGGTAAAATTTCTGTTTTCACTCTGCTATGTTTTTAAACAAACTTGTTTCCTTCAATATGTCCTGTGAGTGTGAGTTGCCTCTTTCCTTATTATGTACCTTAGAAATTTCAACTTTCTCTCTGATTCTAAATATAAATGTCCTTACTGTTAACAAAAAAGAATGGAAGTGATAAAAGATCAAATAGAGATAAGCCGTTAGCATAAGTTAAAGGCTTTTTATTTCTCTGTATTTGAAATATATATACATACATACATACGTATATATAAATGCAATACTCTTCGTTAAAACAAATCGAGTTCTTTCAGTCACTGGCGTGTTTATTTAAAAATAAATATGCTTAAATTCACCTTCATCCCTGCTGTGTGCAATGGCTTATGTGTAGATTCTCTGACTGACACCAATTCAGCCGAGTTATGATCTTAACTAGAGGCAACTGGATGTCTAGCTACACCGATGAGCTGTGATACAGCAAAAGAGTCTATCTGTGGATGACTATATATATATATATATATATATATATATATATATATATATATATATAATACTTGGCATAAAATCAAGAAGAAATTTACCCAGTCAAAAATGAAATTTACCTGAGATTGTGTAAAACTAAAGAAGCAAATAAATAAAGAGAGATATGCTCACCTTTCCTTTTATCTTGGCAATGTTTAACTTCCATGCCTGCAAAAAAAAACAGTGTCAAATGAACAGTTATTCCCATGATACCAATATTTATGTGTACATTTTTATCTCCCTTGGCAATGCTTATTTACAACATTATAAAATTATATACAAGTACAATGCAGTATTTATTATTTACCATTTTCTAAAGAAATTGTAATTTTTATTGCCATGCCTACATTTTTCTCAACTGTGATTGGTCAAATAATAAATACTAAATATCACAGGACAATTTACTGATCACATTCACCACACTGAATTTTTCCTACCATTAACTG